AGCCTAGGCGTGGAGCATGCTAAGTATGGAGGTCCTTGGCCAGTCGCCGTAAGCGGATGGTGAACTCTGTCACGTCTTGTCTGCCTCCCCATGCCCCTTTGATACCTAAGCCGAGGCTAAAGAACGCAGGCAGCTGTGCGGCATCTGGAACTCGCTGCTGCTGTGGGAGACATCTAGTCCCGCCTCCTCCACAGGATTGACAGCTCCGAGAGACTCCCTGTTTAACAAGAACCTTGAAATAGTTTTTTTATTTAATATTTCTTTATTTAGAAACAGAGTTTTTTTCTTCTTCTTTATATTTGGAGACAGGGTCTCTCTGGTTGACCCAGAACTTGCTATGTAGACCAGGCTGGCTTCAAACTCACAGAGACCCGCCTGCCTCTGCCTCCCAAGTGCTGGGGTTAAAGGTGTGTGCCACCATGCCCAGTCTAGAAACGGTCTTGAACTCACGGCAATCCTACCTCAGCCTTCACAGTGCTAGGATTAGAAGTATGTCTCACCATGTCTAGTTATTTATTAATTGTGTTTATTTGTATTTCAGAATCAAGCAGCGCATCATTCTATAAAAAACAGGGTGTTCCCTCCCAGCAGGGTTGGAGACCAAACTAGGGCCTTTCTATGCCAGGCAAACACTCTACTGCTGAACTGTGGCCCAGCTCTTCATTCTTTTGAGAGGGGAAGGGCTGCTGTGCTATGCAGCCCGGGCGTCCCTCCAAACTGAAATCCTTTTATTTCTTCTCAGATGCTGGAATTACAGGCATATTGCCCCCGGGCCTGCACTTATTTATTATTTACTTTTTTTTCCTGACTTTATTTTTTTAAAAATGATTTTATTATTTTAAATTTTCATGTGCATGCGTGTTTTGCCTGCATGTAGGTGTGAAAACCACATGTACATGTCTTCTTTCAGAGGTCACATCTGGGTGACCATGTGGTATTTTTTCACCTGTACCCAGCTTGTTTCACCTGTGTAATATCTCAGATGTTTTAAAATGGTTTTTTAAGACAGGGTTTCTCTATGTAGCTCTGGCTGTCCCAGAACTCACTCTGTAGACCAGGCTGGTCTTGAACTCACAGAGATCCGCCTGCCTCGGCCTCCTGAGTGCTGGGATTAAAGGTGTGTGCCACCATGTCTGACACCATTGGACACGTTTGCTAGCTCTATGACCTGAAGTAGGCTGGTGGCCTTCCTCAAGACTCAGCTTCTTCTTGTGAAAAACAGTGGGCCACACCAGAGCAGCCTCGGCACTTAGAGGCCCAGGTGGCCACACCAGAGCAGCCTCAGCACTTAGAGGCCCAGGTGGCCACACCAGAGCAGCCTCAGCACTTAGAGGCCCAGGTGGCCACACCAGAGCAGCCTCAGCACTTAGAGGCCCAGGTGGCCACACCAGAGCAGCCTCAGCACTTAGAGGCCCAGGTGGAAGGATAAAGTTTACGCTAACTTGGGCTGTACAGTGAGACTCTGTCTCAAAAAGAAAGCACCTTGCAGGAGATTTGGAGCTTAAATGAGCTAAGTGCCTGGTAGGTTCTGGGTGCTTAATTATTGAGACAATAAGCAGAGTAGATATCAACTCAGGAAGTCACTCTGCCTGTTGGTTGGGAGGGAAAGACCCCTTCTGATGTGTTTCAAGGCCCAGGTTTGAGGTAGGCAGCTATTTTGGGCCAGAGGGTTAGCCTAGGCAGACTTCCTGGAGGAGAGAAATTTGAGGTCCATTGAGGAACATGGGAAAGATGGCTACCCATGGGCCTGTCGGCTCAGCGTCTTCCTATCCTTCTCCACAGGACTGTGCCCAGGGCACGGCCAAGTGTGTGGTGTTTAGCTGCCCGCTCTACAGTTTTGATCGAGCGGCCGTGCTACACGTCTGGGGCCGTCTCTGGAACAGCACCTTTCTGGAGGTGAGGGCACCACGGGGTTCCAGGCTGGACGGCTTCTGCAAACCCCGCCCCCTGGAGTTTGCTTCATCTCTTCCCCGTCCTAAGCCAAGCCAGGCAGAAACGCCTGCCCTCTGCGTCAGTGGCACCATTTCATCTGTGGTGTCAGTGGCTGGAGAGGATTGGGAAGAACACGGGCATTTAGCAGTCTCCTTCCTTCCCTATCCCTTAGGAGTACATAGCCGTGAAGTCCCTGGAAGTCATTGTCCGAGCCAACATCACAGTGAAGTCCTCTATCAAGAACTTGTTGCTCAGAGATGCATCCACAATGGTGAGCTGCCTGCCAGGCTGGAGGACGGGCCGGTGGGGGACTTTCCTGCTTCCCACTCACTCCAGCTTTTGCCCTGTTGACTCCTTGTTTCTCAGATCCCGGTGATGGTGTACTTGGACCCTGTGGCTGTGGTCGCAGAAGGAGTCCCTTGGTGGGTTATCCTCTTGGCAGTGCTGGCTGGGCTGCTGGTGCTGGCCCTGCTGGTGCTGCTGTTGTGGAAGGTGAGGCCCGGGAAGGGATGGAACCAGTGGGAACTGGGATTAGAGGAAGGTGGCTGGCCGCTCACTCACACAGGTTCATCCAGCAGCTCCTACCGCGAGCACTTACCCTGCATGCCCCGGGAACTCCTTCTGCTCAGGATGTTTCGGAGTTGGCTCCTGTGCAGACCTCAAGGCTTGTGTAGTCCAGTGGGAGTGCGGGAGCCTTGTAGTTAAGGATGGGGCAGAAGTGTCGAGTTGAGATGGTGGGAACTCAGAAGAAGGAAGGCTTTGAGGTCCCAAGAGCTGGGCCTTAGACGGTGAAGTGGCAGGAGTGATGTGGGGAGATGGGGCAGTGTCATGTGAGGCTTCCAGAAGAACCAAGGATGGTTGGAGTCTCAGGAGTAGGAAAGTGTGGTCCGATTTAGCCACAGTGTGGCAGCAAAGGTTGGGAAGGAAGCTGTGACCAAGACCTGTAGCGTGGAGCACTGGCTCCAGGGAACTGCTTGGAGCTCAATGGGAGCTGCCTCGTATGGGACCGTTCATGTTCTGACAGAGCTATAACATAACACTGGCTCAACATAAAACCACACGCATGCACATGTCAGTACAGGGGCTCTCATGCTCCACCAGGGCCCATCCCTGAGCCACATGCCACGTAGGAGGCTTGTGCAGAACCGAGCACATCCCTAGGCTCTGTAGCTGCCCTGTCCGCTGCTGTTGGACAAGGGTGTGTCATCAGCGGGCCAGCTCTGGAGTGCCATCAATGCTGTTGAGAACTTGCCCGGTCTTAGGAACAACAGATGCCTTCTGATCGGGATGCCTGTCCCATGCACTACTCCCATAGAAGGGAGACAGGCAGATACAAAGTCCCCCTCCCTCCTCAGCCTTCCCATCGTCTGCCTCTTTCCCCTTCTCCCTCAACATCCCAGTGTGGCTTCTTCCATCGCAACAGTCCGAGCTCATCACTTCCAACCAGCTATCACCGAGCCCATCTGGCCGTGCAGCCCTCGGCCATGGAAGTTGGGGGTCCAGGGACTGTGGGGTAACTGCTGTGTGTGTGCACGTGTGTATGAACATGTGTGTGTATCTATGTGTGTGTGTGTGTGTGTCTAAGTACAGATCCGGCATTGGGAGGGACTCAGTAAAGAGAGGGGTGTGTACAGAGGGAGATGAGGGTCCGAATATTTGAGGTAAGGAGCAATACAAAGGTGAAGTTTTCAGTGTGAGCACACAGCCCAGCATGCACAGGGAGCGAGTAGGCTGGGAGTGCCAGCATGTGGGCACGTGGGGTTCCATGCATGTCTTTTCTGTGGGAACCAGTGTGCAGAGATGATTGCACAAGGAGATCCTGTACTGTCTGAGCATGCAGGAGTCTTGGCTGTTCTGAATTTCAGTGTGCAAGGGGCCCGGCACCACCTTTGTAGGTGAGGGGTTAAGCTACTGTATTCATGGATGGGCCCTGGCCTAAGGGGCTGCAATTCAGTGTGCAAGCACACAGGTGTATGTATGGCTATGAATCATCATTCAGGGTTTTTGGGGGGGTGTCTAGGATGCTATTTTATCCCTTGGATCTTGTGTTCTAGGAGACATTACTGAGGTTTTTTAAGAAACCTGGATGGGAGAGGAAAGCATGGGAGGCCCTGGTGTTCAGTTTTAAGCCTCTCTTTCAGGGACCAAGGGTGATTTCCTTGGTTTTACACCTTGGGCTTCCTTCTGGTCTTCCTCTGGCTGTGAATGAGAACCTTGGACCCTGGTACTGATGGTAGCAAGCTGGGGACTTGCCACTGTGTTGGAATTTGGCCAGCCTACCTCACTTTCGTTTCAGCTTTCTGGCTCGGGAAGGTGAGGGGCTCTAAGGGCTGTCAGCCCTGCAGGCTTCTTCTCATGGTCCGTCTTGCTGTCCTCACAGCTGGGATTCTTCAAGCGCGTAAAGCACCCGGAGGCCACTGTGCCCCAGTACCACGCAGTGAAGATCCTTCGGGAAGACCGACAGCAGTTCAAGGAAGAGAAGACAGGCACCATCCAGAGGAGTAACTGGGGCGGCTCCCAGTGGGAGGGTTCTGACGCCCGCCCCATCCTGGATGCCGATGTGGCTCCTGATGGAACTCCGGTGCCAGCCTCTGCTTAACTTCCCTTATTCCAGGCCTGGCCTTTGAATCCCTTCCACCCTTTCCCAAGATGGGCTTCTTGGGATGGAAATAGTGGGGTGGGTTGTTGGCGTCACATCGAGATACGGCAGACTCTACTTCCTCAGGGTCACAGACCTCTCCCACCGTGAGAACCACCCCTCCAACTTCCCCTTAGAATGCTGTGAGACAAGGGGGCGGGGCGTATCAGGGATGGGCTGTGGGCGTGGCTGGAAGGATGGGAATGCAGGATGGGGAGTAGGGGTCCCGATCTCCTTCTCTCATCCACCCTGGATAGCATGTCTTCCCCAAAGTGCCTTAGACAGAGGGTCAGGGAAGAGAGCGTGTCGCTGTCTCTTGTTGCTGTCTCAGGGGCTCTTCCTTCCCTAATCCTCCCTGTCCCCTGACCTTAGTGTGCTGTACCAGCCTAGTGGTTTTTGTCTATTTATTAAAAAGAATTTGACAATAATAAAAAAAAAAAAAACGCTGGTTGCTTTATTGAGTGCTTTTCTTTTATCTTGAGGGTTTAGCTTCCCTCTGCCCCCTGAAGCTCGGCGCAAAGTGGGTGATAGGGAGGGAGGCTGAGGTGGCCTGGTGGGGAACACACGCATCAACATGTGACCAGTTCCGAGGGGCACATGGGTGTAGTGTCGGAAGGATGGCAGTGAGAACTTTACCACGTGTCTAAGGGAAAGGGAGAGTAGAGGTCCTAGAAGGTGGCTGGGCAAAATTTGGCGTGGCGGTGGCGCCGAGGAGGTTTTCTCCTTCTTTGACTGGGGTGGCTTCTGACTACAGGCAGGGAGGGAGCAGAGGGACTCCTTTTGGAGGGTTATTTCACAGCCTTTCCCATGATGTGGGGCCCCACAGGTAACCACCAGAAGGGAGGGGCCTGCCATTCCATTTCGATATTGGAGAACCGTGCCTGCTCAAGGTCCTTCCAGGTCTCTCTGGTGAGGCAGCAACCATCCCCGATGTGTTTCCAGGTCGGCTCAAAAACTTGCTGCCACATCAAGGCCCAGCTTCCCCGAGGCTCGGCGACGTGCTCCCAGAAGAAGAGTAGTCCTCCCTGGGAGGAGGTGAAGGTCACTTATCCAGTCCATCTTGTACTGTAGGCCCTCATGCCCCCTTCCTTCCTTCAGACCCATCTCTCCGGAGTAAGAGCTTCTGGCCTGAGACTTTGTTGGGGGGGGGGGGCAAACTGTTCCTGACATTGTATGTCTAGCTCCTGCCCTCCTCACAGGACACGAAAGGAGCCTCTGGTAACTGGGCGGCCATGACTGGTAAGAGATCTTTATAGAGTCACTAAAGTGACCTGTACAGTAGGGGAGCAAGAGCAATTGAGGGTTCTTTCGTATGTGTAACCTTCTGTTATTGGGACATGACACCTGTTGTCTATCGTGTTCACACTCAAGAACTTTGTGATTAAGTTGTAAAAAGTCACCCAAAAAGTCTCATTGTAGGGCTGGAGAGATGGCTCAGAGGTTAAGAGCACTGACTCTTCTTCCAGAGGTTCTGAGTTCAATTCCCAGCAACCACATGATGGCTCACAACCATCTGTAATGAGGTCTGGCGCCCTCTTCTGGCCTGCAGGGACACATGCAAGTAGAATGCTGTATACATAATTAATAAATCCTTAAAAAATTAAAAAAAGTCTCATTGTATTTTAAATGTTTACAGTTTTGGGTTGGGCCACTTTCATAGTTAACCGGGGCCTGTGGGTTAGACATACCTGCCAGCTAGAGATGTGATCCCAGCCTCTGCTGAGACTCTGGTGTCTAGCGCAACCGAGACACCCCAGGGTTCTGACTACAGCAGGGCTCCTTCAAGCTCTCTCTCCCAGTGTCCTCTTCCCAGAGGAGTCACTCATTCCCATACTGAATTCCCACTAGACGGTCATACTGTCCATAGCTCTTTCTCCAGGCCACATCTTGTCCTGACTTCCAGACCTGAACTTCTAATGACCTGCGTGTCTTCTCTGCATGGATGTCTCAGCAAATCCCGAGACCCAACGCGTTCAGAACAGAGCTTTCCATGCCCGCTAGTGGCTATGTATTTCATCCGCTTTCCCTTCAGTTGTGCAAGCCAGAAACTTTGGAAATTATCCCAAATTCCTTTCTTTCACACCCAGCTCAAACTCTCAGAGACTCCGCTGCCCCCTAACTTTTCCACTTGAAGTCTTTGTCCCCCCCACTTCCTCCACTAGAACACTTTGATTCCCCCACCTCCTCTACACCGGAAGTCTCCAGATACCAATTGAGACCTCACTGTGTCGTGCCAGCTCTCCTCACCACTGTACTTAAGAGCACCCCCTGTGTTTCTGGAGCTTCCATTGCACCCCCACAGATCTCCTATCCACAAGAAGATGCCTGGTGTTATCGACCATGGACCATGACATTCTGATGGCGTTTTTTTTTTTCTGCCAGAGGGTAGGTTACATCAACTTCCTCATCCGGGGTCCTCAACTCTGGAGTTGCCAATGCTATGCTCACCTGCCCTGGGCCCATACCCTTCTCCCTTTGCTCACCGGCTTCAGGACTCTCTGGATTTCCCGGAGGACTTTTTTTGGGCTCTTTACAGAACACAGCACCAGGGTGCAGACCACCACATCCATGGAGCTATCAGCGAGCTGTTTCATGTCCTCTCCATAGGCCACGATAAAGCGCTCGTACTGCAGGTGCCTGTTCTCAGCCATGCTCTTCGTCAGGAACTTCTCAAAGTTGGGGTTCGGGTCCACACAGGTGACCTTGCAGTCAGGTGGGTAGAACTGGAAGTTGGCACCAGTGCCACAGCCCAGCTCCAGCAGGGTCACTTTCCCGTTGGTCTCCTTCAGATCTTTTATCGGGCTAAAGAGTTTCCGTTTCTCGCCTTCCATCTTTTTGTTGGCATTTTCTGTTAACTTGGCCATGAGGTAGGGGAAATAGGTTTTGCATACAGGCTGCCAGTAGCCCAGCAGAGCCAGCAGGTGCAGGGGAAGTGTCAGGATCAGCACCAGTAGCTGCAGAAATGGGACCAGGATGTCCATGATAGCAGCTCCAGGTGGTGTGTGTCCCGGGACTCTGGTGTTTGCCACTGCCCGGTCTGGTAGATATAAATCTCCCCTCCTCCTGTGACAGGACTTTGCTCCTTGTCTCCTGCCTGGTAATTCTCTTTACTGGGTGGAGCCTGTGTATGAAATTCCTCCAGTAGCATGGGTCACACAGCCTCACAGGCCCTTCAAAAGTTGTATGTGGGTGAAGGATCATGGCAGTGCCTATGTTATTGTGTTATGAACAGACAGATATGGTTGAGTATGCTATCTTACCTCAGAGGAGAGTAGGAAGGGGTTGGGGGACAAGTTTCAGATCACAGCCTCACAAAGATCCAAGGTTGCGGGCAGAGTCAACTCACTCTTTTCAGGTCTGGCCAGGTTGTGCAAACCAGAAAGTCTCCCACACCCCCTGGGATTTTATACTCAGCAGCATGACTTTGCCCTGCATATATAAAGCTGCTTTGTATAAGCCGCTTTAGGTACTTGAGTGAGTGGCCAGGCCCCTCCCCGGAGGACTTCCAACTGCCAGGCCCTGCTAACAAGGCTGGCCCCAGCCAAGCTCTGGATTTGAAAACCTATCAATCCCTGAACGTGAAATTCCATCATTCCCTGGGCTCACCCCAACCTCAAGACTTGACATCCCACCAATCCCCACTCTGGAAAGTTCCACCCTGGAAAGCTCTGCCCCCAAGAAACTCTGTATAAACCCCATCTTCTGCCCAGTCCTCTGCTGCTTCTTGCTTGAGCAGAGGCAGCTACCCTCCTGGACTCTTCTCTCAACACATCTCTTGTGTGACTGCGGTGCTCCTTGGCTCCTGACTGCCAGGATACCTTTCTCTTCAGAGCCATAACCCTTGGGGGAAGAAACATCCTCCCCACCCCAGCAGGAGTAGAACTGTAACCCTTGGGGGAAGAAACATCCTCCCCACCCCAGCAGGAGTAGAACTGTAACCCTTTGGGGGCAGCCTTCCCCCTGGAGCAGAGCTGTAATTTTTCCATTGTGGAAGCTCTTTTCTTCAGAATGTACACAATGTACACGGTGAGACCTGATTGGTCATGAGAAGGAGGGAGGTTACTGGTCAGAAGAAAGGCTCTGGGATTGGAACCATGGCTCAGCAGTAGAGGGCTGGTCTGCTGTGCTCGAGGCCCTGCCCTGAAAGAAGACACTTAAATAAACTTTAAATATTATATTTAAAAATGTATGTATATATATGCTTCCATGTATGTATGTACATATGTATGTATATATGTAGTATACGTATGCATATCTGTATGATTTTGAGTGTGTGTGCTATGATACAGTTGTAGAGGTCAGATAACAGCTTGAGGGAGTTTTCTCTTTTCAGTATTTGAGTCCCAGGGATTGTCAGCAAATGCCTTTACCTGCTGATTCATCTCAACAGACTCTGATTTTCTTTTTAATGTTGTGAGTGTGTATGTATGCGTGTGTATATGCATGTATGTGTGTGTATATGCATGTATGTGTGCATGTGTATATATGTGTGTGTACGTGTGTATGTATGTGCATGCGTGTGTGTATGTGTGTATGTGCATGCGTCTGTGTGTATGTGTGTATGTGCATGCGTCTGTGTGTATGTGTGTGAGTGTATATGCATGTATGTGTGTGTATATGCATGTATGTGTGCATGTGTACGTATGTGCATGTTTGTGTATATGTGTGTATGTGCATGCGTCTGTGTGTATGTGTGTATGTGCATGCGTCTGTGTGTATGTGTATGCGTCTGTGTGTATGTGTGTGTATATGCATGTATGTGTGCATGTGTGTGTATGTGCATGTGTATGTGTGTGTATATGTGTGTATGTGTGCATGTGTATATATGTGTGTGTACGTGTGTACGTATGTGCATGTGTGTGTGTATATGTGTGTATGTGCATGCGTCTGTGTGTGTGTGTGTGTGTGTGTGTGTGTGTGTGAGTGAGCATATGTACCACTGGGAGGATGTGGAAGTCAGAGGACAACTCTGTGGAGCTGAGTTTTTTCCTTGGACCTTTACATGGGCTTTGGAAATCAAACTTAGGTCCTTAGACATACCCAGAGGGCCTTTTCACAAGTTGAACCATTTCACTGGTCCTAAGAAAACACTCTTTTGAACTGACTACACTGACTACAGCTATCAAATTCAAGGCTTCAAGACCCAGAAATAGAAGAAAAAGAGGAGACAAGAAAGGAAGGAAGAAAGGAAGGAAGGAAGGCAGGAAGGAAGGAAGACAGGCAGGCACAGAAGAGCCTGGAGACCTGAGGCGTAGCCCTGGTTTGCTTGTGAGTTCTGAGATCTGTTGGAAATGGTCTTTTCTTTATGGGCCTCAAATTGTCATGCATCAAACAAGGAGAGAGAAGAAGCTGGAGTGCTTTGCTCTGCTCTCGTGTTTGTGTGGTCTATGGAGGGTAGGCTCAGAAGCAGGAGGCTGCCCTAAGAGTCCTTGGAAACCTGGACGATTCAATCCAGCAGGGCTTCAGGACTGGGTCAGGACTGACAATAATGCAGCAGAGTCTCAGAGGCTGGACTTTCAGACCAAGGCATCTTAGTACAAAACCCGGGTTGTTAAAGTACTGACTTATTTTTCCTTTTTCCTGCAGCCTTCCTTAGTGATTTTTTTTTTAAATATTAACTTTATTTATTTATTATGTATACAATGTTCTGCCTGTGTGTATCCCTGCAAGCCAGGAGAGGGCACCAGACCTCATTACAGATGGTTGTGAGCCACCATGTGGTTGCTGGAAATTGAACTCAGGACCTTTGGAAGAGCAGGCAATGCTCTTAACCGCTGAGCCATCTCTCCAGCCCTCCCTTAGTGATTTTGAACTTGGTGACTCCTTATGGACAGTCTCAAGGGCTGCACAGCAAACGCACCATGGCCAATTTCTTTCTTTCCTTATCTTCTGTTGTTGTTGTTGTTGTTCTGTTGGACTTGGTGGGGGTTGCGAGGCAAGTGCCCCACCACTGAGTTATTCCCTCAGTCCCAAAGAAAGCGGTTTAAAATATGTTCATATAAATATTGGAGGTGAGTGGGTGGGGCTCAGTGGATAGAGGCCTTACTTGGCATGTGGGAGGCTCCATTCCTAGAACTGAAGAAACCAGGTTTTTATGCCAATACCAGGATGTTTTCAGTACTGTATCTCTGTAGTAGAGTTTGAAGTCAGGGATTGTGATGCTTCCAGAAGTTCTTTTATTGTACAGAATTGTTTTGGCTATCCTGAGTTTTTTTGCTTTTCCATATGAAATTGAGTATTTTTCTTTTGAGGTCTGTGAAGAATTTTGCTGGGCATTTCATTGAATCTGTAGATTGCTTTTGGTAAGATTGCCATTTTTACTATGTAAATTATACCTACCCAAGAGCATGGGAGAGTTTTCTTTTTTGTGTGTGTCTTTTTCAATTTCTTTCTTTCTTCAAAGATTTAAATTTCTTGTCACATAGGTATTCCACTTGTTTGTTTAGATATTTTATGCTATTCGTGGCTATTGTAAAGGGTGACGTTTCTCTAATTTCTTTCTCAGCCCATTTATCATCTGTGTAAAGGAGGGCTAGTGATTTTTTTTGAGTTAATCTTTTATCTTGTTACATTAATGAAGGTGTTTATAAGTTGTAGAAGTTTCTTCGTAGAATTTTTTGGGTCACTTATGTAAGCTATCATATCATCAGCAGAAAGTGAGAGTCTGACTTCTTCTTTTTAGATTTGTATTCCCTTGATCTCCTTTTGTTGTCTTATTGCTCTAGCTAGGACCTCAAGGACTATATTGAGAAGATATAGAGAGAGTGGATAACCTTGTCTTGTTCCTGATTTCAGTGGAATCTCTTTGAGTTTCTCTCCATTTAGTCTGATGTTGCTGTATATTGCCTTTATTATGTTTAGGTATGTTCCTTGTAACCCTGATCTCTCCAAGACCTTTATCATGAAGGAATGTTGAATTTTGTCAAATGCTTTTTCAACATCTAATGAGATGATCATGTGGTTTTTATTTTTCACTTTGCTTATATGGTGGATTATGTTGACAGATTTTCATATGTTGAACTATCCCTGCATCCCTGGGATGAAGCTGACTTGATCATGGTGGATGATTTTTCTGATGTGTTCTTGGGTTCAGTTTGCCAGTATTTTATTAAGTGTTTTTGCATCAATGTTCATGAATGAGATTGGTCTGTAATTCTCTTCTTAATAGTGTCTTTGTGTGGTTGGGTATCAGGGTAATTGTAACCTTTTACAAAGAGTTTGGCAATGTTCCTTCTGTTCCTATTGTGTGGAATAATTTGAGGAGTATTGGTATTAGTTCTTTGAAAATCTTGTAGAATTTTGTGCTGAAACCATCTGGTCCTGGGCTTTTTTTGGTTGGGAGATTTTTGATGACTGTTTCTATATCTTTAGCAGTTATAGGTCTATTTAATTTGTTTATCTGGTCTTGATTTTGGTAGGTGATATTTATACAGAAAATTATCCATTTCCTTTAAATTTTCCCATTTTTGGAGTATAAGCTTTTGAACTAGGACCTGATGATTCTCTGGATTTCCTCCATGTCTGTTGCTATGTCTCCCCTTTCATTTCTGATTTTGTTAATTTGTATATTTTCTCTCTGCCTTTTTGTTAGTTTGGATAAAGCTTTGTCTATTTTGTTGATTTTCTCAATGAACCAATTCTTTGTCTCATTGGTTCTTTGTATTGTATTCTTGTTTTTATCTTGTTGATTTCATCTCTCAATTTGATTATTTCCTGCTGTCTCATCCTCCTGGGTGTGTTTGCTTCCTTTTACTCTAGAGTTTTCAGGTGTTCTGTTAACTCACTAGTGTGGGATTTTTCCAGCTTCTTTATAAAGGCATTTAGTGCTATGAACTTTCCCCTTAACACTGTTTTTTTTATTGTGTCCCATAAATTTGGGTAAGTTATGTGGGCATTTTCATTAAATTCTAGGAAGTCTTTAATTTCTTTCTTTATTTCTTCCTTGACCCATTAGTGACTCTGGTGAGCATTGTTTGGTTTCTATGTGTTTGTAGGCTTTCTGAAATTAGTGTTGCTGTTGAATTCTAATTTTAAGCCATGGTGATCCG